GAAGCTACTAGTTTATCTCATTAATTACCGAAGTTACTGGTTATCTCATTAGTTACCAAAGCTATAGCTTTTAGTTACCGATGCTATTGTTATCACTCACCAAAACTATCCTATTTAGTAAGCATTAGTTTCTTGGATGGCAGGTTGATCGTGCAGGTTATTATCTTGTTTTCTTGTTCTTATTCTTTGCTATGTTTTCTTGTTCTTATTCTTTGCTATGTTTTTGTTCGAAGCGACGCGTTTGGTGGCGCCGATGTCTGAACTTTTTATATCCTACATTTTTGTTTTCTTCAGATCTTGTTCTGCTTAATTTATTAGATTCAAAACTGCCAAGCGGGCGGCAACTTGTGCGCCGTACTTGAAATTCTGGCCACAATTTCATTATTTTTCTATACGCGCTTCAGTGTAGCACTCATAACAATAAATGAATCATTTTGTTCAAATAATGTCTCGCTTTCTTACTCATATTATGAGCATAGATACGTGGCACTGATATGCTCTTTTGATGGATCTAACTGGGTCAGGATGACCCATACGAGGGTAAAAAAGTTCATCGCTATTCAAAGTCTCATTCATTTCTCCGAGTGTACGTGAATTCATTCATGGATGCAGCTTCCATATGCTGGTCGTACGTACGTCTGGTTCCTGGGGCCATACTTTCAAAACTCGCTAAGTGAACGTAAGTACTTACGCTCCATTTTCTTGCCTATGATTGGTGGATTTTGCTTGAAAGGCCGTCAATGATTGGCTAATGAACTTACGATCTCTTAACTTTTTTTGAAAGTATAGGCCCAGGTTCATTATTTTCGTACAATCCTTGCCTGCACTCAGACAAATACATGGGTTATGTTGTCTCAATAATGACTTACTGCACGCAGAACTGATACGTTCAGTTGACGGGCTGGGTGAGTTTGACCCACTTAATGGCAACACGTGCTCCGCCAGATATTTGCACAATATCTTGTGTATTTGTCTGAGTGTATGACATTGTCGTACTGAAATGTGCGCTGCCGAGAGAAAATGAATTGTAATTAATGTTATTTATTTTAACGCGCTAATCACTTAAGAGAAGTTCCATACGATGTTAATATATAGTTCCATGTAATGTTTGTATATATATATATATATATATATATATAGTTACATATAATTTTTATACCTGCATCATAAATAGAAATATAAAGTTCAATTCTCGCTTCTGAAAATAACGAAAACGAATGTCATTCTCCCCTTACTTATGTGAACTTATTTATTTCATACTTCTCTTTACCGTTCTAATAATACATCAATTTAGAAGTCTACATTATAGGTCGTTAATTCAATTTGTATTCTCTAAAACAATATCATACGGAAATGGGTAGAGGTTATGAAGCTGTTCATTGTATGTGTGAACATGATTTATTTTCCTTTACAATTTTGAAAATGCGACTGTTACTGTCAGTTGCTTATTAAATTCCAATTGAAAAATTACGATTATGACGGAAATGCATTACGGCAATGCAGCAGGTCTCATAAGGCAAGAACTTAACTTGTTCTTTATTTTGTCTAACGTTCTCAAAAGACTTGTATATTGAGGAGTCTTTTTCTTAGGTTATCATTCAATTTTATTTTATCTAATAATAAATGCTAACAGAAAATGTGTAAAGGTGACGTAGCAGTTCTTCATTTGTAAGACTTCGTCTCAGCAACGAAGCCTCGCATGTGTTCTGTTCGTAGACTGGAAGACTCGTGAGCTCTCCTTGTAGAAACTCTTGTCAAGCCCTGCAATGTTCCTCGCAGTTGTCAAGCCCTGCAATGTTCCTCGCAGTTGTCAAGCCCTGCAATGTTCCTCGCAGTTGTCAAGCCCTGTCAAGTCCTGCAATGTTCCTCGCAGTTGTCAAGCCCTGCAATGTTCTTCACAGTTGTCAAGCCCTGCAATGTTCTTCACAGTTGTCAAGCCCTGCAATATTCTTCACAGTTGCCAAGCCCTGCAATATTCTTCACAGTTGCCAAGCCCTGCAATATTCTTCACAGTTGCCAAGCCCTGCAATGTTCTTCACAGTTGCCAAGCCCTGCAATATTCTTCACAGTTGTCAAGCCCTGCAATATTCTTCACAGTTGCCAAGCCCTGCAATGTTCTTCACAGTTGTCAAGCCCTGCAATGTTCTTTACAGTTGTCAAGCCCTGCAATGTTCTTTACAGTTGTCAAGCCCTGCAATGTTCTTTACAGTTGTCAAGCCCTGCAATGTTCTTCACAGTTGTCAAGTCCTGCAATGTTCTTCACAGTTGTCAAGCCCTGCAATGTTCCTCGCAGTTGTCAAGCCCGCAATGTTCTTCACAGTTGTCAAGCCCTGCAATGTTCTTCACAGTCGTCAAGCCCTGCAATATTGTTCATAGTTGTCAAGCCCTGCAATGTTCCTTCAGTTGTCAAGCCCTGCAATATTCTTCACAGTTGTCAAGCCCTGCAATGTTTTTCACAGTTGTCAAGCCCTGCAATATTCTTCACAGTTGCCGAGCCCCGCAATGTTCCTCGCAGTTTCCAGTCATGGATTTTACGTCAACGTCAAAACCAAGACGAGAAGAAAGCTTTACTTTTTTCTCGGAGCTTTACCTTTTTTATTTTACCTATTTTTTTGTCGAAGCCTAGAAATGTTGTAGTTTTTACAAACGTTGTTTGAGGACAGGTTTGTGAGGCTCGTATCTCACGTACCTCACATGGCAGTGTGAGGCTCGTATCTCACGTACCTCAATTGACAGTATGAGGCTCGTATCTCACGTACCTCACATGCCAGCATGAGGCTCGTATCTCACGTACCTCACATGCCAGTATGAGGTGTCGCAGTACGCACTAAGGGCAGCAGTACGCACTAAGGGCAGCAGTACGCACTAAGGGCAGCAGTACGCACTAAAGGCAGCAGTNCAGCACCCCTTCCCTCAGCACCCCTTCCCTCAGCACCCCTTCCCTCAGCACCCCTTCCCTCAGCACCCCTTCCCTCAGCACCCCTTCCCTCAGCACCCCTTCCCTCAGCACCCCTTCCCTCAGCACCCCTTCCCTCAGCACCCCTTCCCTCAGCACCCCTTCCCTCAGCACCCCTTCCCTCAGCACCCCTTCCCTCAGCACCCCTTCCCTCAGCACCCCTTCCCTCAGCACCCCTTCCCTCAGCACCCCTTCCCTCAGCACCCCTTCCCTCAGCACCCCTTCCCTCAGCACCCCTTCCCTCAGCACCCCTTCCCTCAGCACCCCTTCCCTCAGCACCCCTTCCCTCAGCACCCCTTCCCTCAGCACCCCTTCCCTCAGCACCCCTTCCCTCAGCACCCCTTCCCTCAGCACCCCTTCCCTCAGCACCCCTTCCCTCAGCACCCCTTCCCTCAGCACCCCTTCCCTCAGCACCCCTTCCCTCAGCACCCCTTCCCTCAGCACCCCTTCCCTCAGCACCCCTTCCCTCAGCACCCCTTCCCTCAGCACCCCTTCCCTCAGCACCCCTTCCCTCAGCACCCCTTCCCTCAGCACCCCTTCCCTCAGCACCCCTTCCCTCAGCACCCCTTCCCTCAGCACCCCTTCCCTCAGCACCCCTTCCCTCAGCACCCCTTCCCTCAGCACCCCTTCCCTCAGCACCCCTTCCCTCAGCACCCCTTCCCTCAGCACCCCTTCCCTCAGCACCCCTTCCCTCAGCACCCCTTCCCTCAGCACCCCTTCCCTCAGCACCCCTTCCCTCAGCACCCCTTCCCTCAGCACCCCTTCCCTCAGCACCCCTTCCCTCAGCACCCCTTCCCTCAGCACCCCTTCCCTCAGCACCCCTTCCCTCAGCACCCCTTCCCTCAGCACCCCTTCCCTCAGCACCCCTTCCCTCAGCACCCCTTCCCTCAGCACCCCTTCCCTCAGCACCCCTTCCCTCAGCACCCCTTCCCTCAGCACCCCTTCCCTCAGCACCCCTTCCCTCAGCACCCCTTCCCTCAGCACCCCTTCCCTCAGCACCCCTTCCCTCAGCACCCCTTCCCTCAGCACCCCTTCCCTCAGCACCCCTTCCCTCAGCACCCCTTCCCTCAGCACCCCTTCCCTCAGCACCCCTTCCCTCAGCACCCCTTCCCTCAGCACCCCTTCCCTCAGCACCCCTTCCCTCAGCACCCCTTCCCTCAGCACCCCTTCCCTCAGCACCCCTTCCCTCAGCACCCCTTCCCTCAGCACCCCTTCCCTCAGCACCCCTTCCCTCAGCACCCCTTCCCTCAGCACCCCTTCCCTCAGCACCCCTTCCCTCAGCACCCCTTCCCTCAGCACCCCTTCCCTCAGCACCCCTTCCCTCAGCACCCCTTCCCTCAGCACCCCTTCCCTCAGCACCCCTTCCCTCAGCACCCCTTCCCTCAGCACCCCTTCCCTCAGCACCCCTTCCCTCAGCACCCCTTCCCTCAGCACCCCTACCCTCAGCACCCCTTCCCTCAGCACCCCTTCCCTCAGCACTCCCACCATTAAATTTTTTTTACTCATGGATTGTCTGATTTGTCTCTATTCTTTTTATTATTTTTTTGTATCGATGATGAAATACTACGAATATTCATTTTGGGGTGAGGTCATCTTAGAGTGAGGTCACCTTAGAGTGAGTTCACCTTAGAGTGAGGTCACCTTAGAGTGAGGTCACCTTAGAGTGAGGTCACCTTAGAGTGAGGTCATCTTAGAGTGAGGTCATCTTAGAGTGAGGTCACCTTATAGTGAGGTCATCTTAGAGTGAGGTCCCCTCAGAGTGAGGTCACCTTATAGTGAGGTCACCTTATAGTGAGGTCACCTTATAGTGAGGTCACCTTATAGTGAGGTCACCTTAGAGTGAGGTCACCTCAGAGTGAGGTCATCTTAGAGTGAGGTCATCTTAGAGTGAGGTCATCTTAGAATGAGGTCACCTCAGAGTGAGGTCATCTTAGAGTGAGGTCATCTTAGAGTGAGGTCACCTTAGAGTGAGGTCACCATCATAGATGTTCCTGTCTATATCATTTTATTCAAGCTAATAATCTAAAATTTTCTATTTTTCCAGGGGCTTCGGCAAGCAGGGATTTCAGTGCCAAAGTGAGTACCCATTGAATTAATTATTTATTCAAATAAATATTTCTGAATATCCTCGTCTTACTGAACATCGTTAATGTTGCACACGCATCAAAGTTTTAAGCTAAGCTTTTTGATATTTAATGCTTTCCATTCAAGTTTTTTGCTCATTTTCCAAACTTCGTGAATTTTAAGCGTGTCAATACAATAATGATAAGATCATCTCTACACGATCGAAAACTAAAGAATATTTCTGAATCGTTCATATTATTTTGTTTGTTAGTTTTTTATACGGAAAGAATCGCTGCAACAATGGAAGTCACTAACTCCCTCCTCCGTTCCTGTTTTCCTCATCACTAACCACATCTATACTCTCTCTTCACATCCCATACTTGTAGGAGAACTGCCGTGTCTCGTTTATTGACGTACCGCTTTTAAACGTCCTGTTTTCATTCTGCAACCTAACTAACGCCCTGTTTTCATTCTGCAACCTAACTAACGCCCTGTTTTCATTCTGCAACCTAACTAACGCCCTGTTTTCATTCTGCAACCTCACTAACGCCCTGTTTTCATTCTGCAACCTCATTAACGCCCTGTTTTCATTCCGCAACCTCACTAACGCCCTGTTTACAGTCTGCAGCCTCACTAACGCCCTGTTTTCAGTATGCAGCCTCACTAACGCCCTGTTTTCAGTCTGCAGTCTCACTAACGCCCTGTTTACAGTCTGTCTCTTATACACATCTAGATGTGTATAAGAGACAGCCNTGAACTTTGTTCAGTTATAAAGTTGATATAAGTTTTAGTTAACATTGACCTATGTTAAGTTATAAAGTTGATATAAGTTTTAGTTAACATTGACCTATGTTAAGTTATAAAGTCAATATAAGTTTTAGTTAACATTGAACTTTGTTAAGTTATAAAGTTGATATAAGTTTTAGTTAACATTGACCTATGTTAAGTTATAAAGATGATATAAGTTTTAGTTAACATTGAACTATGTTAATTTATAAAGTCGCTAGTACTGCACGTATTTGAATCAAAATTCGTCTTATATGTTGATTGTTAGCTAATGATTAGTAATTTTATAGACTATTTTCTAATGACTTTGTACATCTGATTGTTATGTAATATAACCCCAAATAACTTAATTTTTGTTATCAAGCATAATATTTGTGAATTAGAATGCCATGAATGATGTATTGTATTCATATTCACCACACATACCAAGCCCAAATTTCAGAGCAATTTGGTTACTTTTTTAGTGTAAATCTGGGCAGTTAGTGCAGGTCAGAGCAGTTAGTGCAGGTCAGAGCAGCTAGTGCAGGTCAGAGCAGTTAGTGCAGGTCAGAGCAGTTAGTGCAGGTCAGGGCAGCTATGCAGGTCAGAGCAGTTAGTGCAGGTCAGAGCAGTTAGTGCAGGTCAGGGCAGCTATGCAGGTCAGAGCAGCTATACAGGTTGCTGCTGTCAGAGCAGTCAGAGCAGTCAGAGCAGAGTGCTCTGAATGTTTCACTCTCCGGAGATCAGCTAATGGCTGGGAAGGCGCTTCTGGGAAAGGAGAGTTGAGGTCGAGTGGACTGGATATTGTTCTTAATATTGCTGGATATTGTCCTTAATATTGGCTGGATATTGTCCTTAATATTGGCTGGATATTGTCCTTAATATTGGCTGGATATTGTCCTTAATATTGACAGGATATTGTAATAATATAATACCCTGCTGCTGCTCGTGGCGTGGTAATTGCTTGCTATGCTACGATTTCCGTACTGCAGGCTCCTGGAGTGTTCAATGTCCTATGGTGGAAATCGTCGAATCCTGTACTGGGAATGGTAATTCAATCTAGTACTGGAAATCGTAATATCCTATACTGGAAATTGTATTATCCGATTTTGGAAGTCTTAGATTCCCGTGTTGCAGGCTCTTAGAGTGTTAACTGTTCAGTATCCTATGCTAAATATTGTAGCATCAAATGCTTGGTTCGCAACATTCTATAATGGAACTCTAAATATATCCAATGCTGGATATCGTAGCAACCTATATGAATGAAATCGTTACATCCTATATTGGAAATCGAACTCTTTGACGCAATCGATTTTTTCTATTGACTTTGAACTTTTTCCTTGTCCCAACTAATTTAGACGTATTGATGTGGTCGCAATATTTAGATAATTAAATCATGGTTGTATTTCCCGAGGACTTATTCCGACTATTCTATATAGTCACTCAGGGTTATTCTAAAGTGATGGACCCAAATTAATAAATTTGTCGTTATTTAACTATAAATTCAAAATGAAAAATTTATACACCAATTGAAAGAGAAAATTCAAGTTTTTATAAATATTTAAAAATGTTCAAAATGTCCCCATCGGCATCTTGTGTCCGAAACTTACTGAACCAGTCATTTCCTGAGCGTTGGGTAAGACGACGCATAGGAAATGAAGATCTGGCTTCAGATCTTCATATCCTATGCAAGACTGCAGGTGACTACGTATATGAGATCAGATGACTTCGGGCCACCGAAATCATCTGATCTCACCCCATGGAAGGAAGCTGTTTACGTCCCGCCTCTACCAGCAACTCTGTTTACGTCCCGCCTCTACCAGCAACCTGTCTCTTATACACATCTAGATGTGTATAAGAGACAGGCCTCTACCAGCAACTCTGTTTACGTCCCGCCTCTACCAGCAACTCTGTTTACGTCCCGCCTCTACCAGCAACTCTGGTTGATCTGAAGAACCGTATCACTGCTACGGTGCACTCAGTAACAGAAGATATGCTGTCTCGTGCGTGGGACGAGTTTGGCTACCGTTTAGATGTTCGCTTAGCAGCACAAGGTACAATGCAGCACAATATTGAACATTTATAAAAATGTAAAAAAAACTTTGAATCTCTCTCTTTCCATTGCTGTATAAATTATTTATTTTGAATTTTTACTTAAATTATTACGAATTAATTAAATTGGGTCCATCATTTGGAATAACCCTGCATGTATGTTTATTAAACTTGAAACCTGATCCTTATGAAAGTGACATTAATGAATCTCAAATATATTAACACGGCATCGAATTGAAATGCACGGACATCACGTCTTTGGCATCAGTAATTTTTTTTATTGTAATCTCGACATTTATTTAGTCGGCCACAGAAACCTTTTTTATTTTAGTTTACAATTCTTTTTTTTTTTTTTGTCGTTAAATTACACTTACTTCAGGCTTCAGACGAGTCCATTTTTCATCCTGCGTGCGGTGCAAATCCAATTTTGTTCTAATGCAGATTTCAGCTCCGCGAGCTCTGAATCTCTGAGCTGCAGCCCTGATTCTCTGAGCCGCGAGCTCTGAATCTCTGAGCTGCAGCCCTGATTCTCTGAGCCGCAAGTTCTGAATCTCTGAGCCGCGAGCTCTGATTCTCTGAGCTGCAGCCCTGATTCTCTGAGCCGCGAGCTCTGAATCTCTGAGCTCCAGCCCTGATTCTCTGAGCTGCAGCCCTGATTCTCCGAGCCGCGAGCTGTGAATCTCTGAGCTACAGCCATGATTCTCTGAGCCGCGAGCTCTGAATCTCTGAGCCGCAGCTGTTGAGGAATTTTTGCACGTTAAAACGTTTAGAAATTACATTTTGTTCTGTAAATGTAGTTTTATTTTTCATATTGCACACTACTTAGTTCAATCAAATCTTAGTTTCATACATTTAATAATACTTGATTTATTTAAGAAACATTGAGAAGTAAGAGGGGTGCGAATAATTTCGTCGCTAACTGTTCTAATTAGCTGACATTTATATGCTATTTATACGTGGACTGGAAAGTTTGGAAGTCGTGTTATAAAGAGAATTACTTTGCCGCTGTAAATAAATTTACAAATAATGACCATTTTGATCATTGCAATATATACATCTATACTATTTAAGTATCAATATTAAAGTTACTCTTCCAATTTGGAACTGAATATCTAATATTCACAATAAAATTTTGATCATTTTTATTGCCACACTGATCATTTATTGGTGGTTAGGGATCTTGAATACAGTTCCTATGTAAACCGCTTGCAAGAATGCAGAATTGCAGGATTTGGACTAGAAAACGTGGATTTCAAAACGGATTTGGCTTAAATTCTGCTTTAATGTTTTTTTTATCAAAAGAACCACATGACGAATGTTTTGCTTGTAGGAGCAACATTATTGTCTCTTTAATCATTATTTTTATTGATAAGAAAATAAGTTGTTAGTTGGGGGAGAGCGATGACGCGGCGACGGCTGTGTGGGGAGCTCGGCTTTACTTTCAACCGCCGAGGGGAGTGAGGGATGGGAAGGAGGGGAGTGAGGGAGAAAGGGGTGGGGGAAGATGAGAGGAGGGAAGAGGGAAAGCCTGCGCTGGAAGTTCTTGCTCTTGTGGAATTGAATAAATAATTTGTATCTTATGCTTGAATATTCTTAAGGTTTAGGATCAATTTTGGGGATAATTTTAAAACTATTTCACGGCTTATTGAAGCCGGAATTAGGGAGACTGTATGTGTGTTTCATCAGTTGTGTTGTTCATTAGTTGTGGTGTTCATCATTTGTGTTACCTTAATGATGAAGAGGGTCTGTTGATTGTTGGTAGATTCAATCTTAAATTTATTATCCACAGGTGTTTGTTAATGTTGCAGGTGTTTGTTGATGGTGCAGGTGTTTGTTGATGTTGCAGGTGTTTGTTAATGTTGCAGGTGTTTGTTAATGTTGCAGGTGTTTGTTAATGTTGCAGGTGTTTGTTAATGTTGCAGGTGTTTGTTGATGCTGCAGGTGTTGGTTGATGCTGCAGGTGTTTGTTGTTGTTGCAGGGGTTTGTTGTTGGTGCAGGTGTTTGTTGTTGTTGCAGGGGTTTGTTGTTGTTGCAGGTGTTTGTTGTTGTTGCAGGTGTTTGTTGTTGTTGCAGGTGTTTGTTGTTGTTGCAAGCATTAGTTTGTTCCTGTGTCATAGTTGTTTGCTCTCTGCTAACTTTACGCGTACTATTTATATATTCTATCAGAGTAATATTAATCTTCACTAGAAAAATATGTATTTTATCGGAGTAAAATATATAAGTAGATCCTTAAAGCCTCTTGGTAAGCTTATGTTCGCATTGAATAGTTTTATTATAATTTGTTGATTGTACCACATATTTATGCTAGCCCTTAGTTCGTAAAACATTATGCTATAATTACATTATTGAGCTATTTTATGTTCTTCATCACACTACGCCTAGTACAGTGCATCATGCGATGTATGCTTCACAATTTTTGTAATTTCGTATCTATGCTCGTAGTCTCGTATTAATACCACCCACCATACTCTGAACTGTACCGTGCACCATTACTCGTACATCACGTGTCCATGACTCGTACATCACGCGTCCATGACTCGTACATCACGTGTCCATGACTCGTACATCACGTGTCCATGACTCGTACATCACGTGTCCATGACTCGTACATCACGTGTCCATGACTCGTACATCACGTGT